TGCGCTATTATTACGTAGTTTCAGCGACAGCTGTCAATGTTTAAATAGTGCTGACCAGAAATTAATCCTATTTGAAACTTTTCAATTAGTTACAATACGTCTGAATTCATATAGGGTGCCATCCGTATTGTCTCTAGATATATTCTCAATCCAGATGTACCATCAGCCAAGCTATGGGTGATGTGTTTGAGTATGACTGTGCTCGTTGAGTCTCTCAACGATCGCACCAACACTCACAATTGTGGAGGTTTTCAACACATGCGAAAAGTTTCAAATAGGATTAATTTCTGGTCAGCACTATTTTAACATTGACAGCTGTCGCTGAAACTACGTAATAATAGCGCAAATATGTTTTGAAAGGAAAACTTATATCCATAGTACGCATGTTTTATCGACGGTTCTCATATTTTATTTAGTGAAATAGCTTTCAAATAAATCTGTAGAAAATAAAGAAAGCAAAAAAAATAATACCAATGTCCAATATTCGATGAACAACAAAGAACACTTATTGTTTAAAATTGTGACTGGATGATAAATTCTTGATCGAAAAATATGAGTGAGATTTTTAAGAGAACCAGCATTTGTATATGGATTTGGGATTAATTGAAGAATGTGACAAGCAATATGATAAATATTGACATTATTTATAGAAAGAATTTGAATGTTTTCATTAAAAGATGGACCACGAGCTAAAAATATGGCTTGCATTGATGGAAGTATATTATCCCACCCATGATAACCTTTCTTCGAATAGGAAGTATTGTCCGTTGCCTGAGTTCCGAAGAGAAACTCGGTGATGTAATCACTTATCTTAGTATTTTTCTACACTTACATTCAAAAACATGACACCTTCGTTTGGTATTACAAAAACTTTACTAGGTCGATGATCTGGTTCTGAATAGTGAAAGCGTTGTGGCAGTTCATTACGTTTATATACTGTTACATTGGGAATTCGACGCAGACCATCGATCACTTGTTGAGTCTATTTTGTTTTTATAACATATCTTTAAACGACAAAAATCTTCTGTAAAATAATTAACTGACTTGTTCTTCACATGGAGTAACACTAAATTGAGCACCAACAATAATATTTTCTTCGATCATGGATGGATCAATATATTTTTCAAAAAATGGTCGAATGATTTGTTTGATATTCGACATACCTTCAAAGTCATTCACAAAAAAAAACATTTTAGATATTATTTAATAGAGTGGTACTTTTTCTTTTTCAACATACATGATCCGAAACAAAGATGATATTCAAATTATCATACAATTCATTCTTCACTTTTCTCAATAAATATGCCACAGCATTATCAATACGAGTTAGCTTGAAAAAAAAGTATATGCAAATTAATAGAATTCACCTGCTTAACGTTTCATGTACTTCCATCGAATCAGGACCTGAAGCGTGGTCTTGTTTGTCTACTTCCCTCGAAATAAGAAAACAAATGTATTGAATCAAAATAAATGAGTCATCGTTACAACTCACTCATGATAGAGTAAAACAAGTTGAATAGGAAGCTCACGAAAATAAGACACGGCATTGTCAATTTTCTCACGAAATGCTATAGCGTCCATGTATGGCCAACTGTAGATAAGTAGTCGAATACCATTAAATTCATTATGACATGCAGGCCAGAAGAGTACTGACGATTTTATAGCCTGAAAAAAGAAAAAAACAAACCTATGCAATTACTAGATGCATCGATAACTACCTGTTTCGTTGCTGTGATCCAAATCGGTTCAACCTTCGGGTCGGACCATTGACCTTCATCACGACTGCCTAAAAAAATTCTAATTTTAATTTTTACAAACAAAATATATAGGGCATCCCAAAAATCATATTCCGAAAGTAAACCATATAATGTCACTATTAATAGATTTAAATCGACATATGCATTTTTCTATGATGATGAGTTCCGTAAGTTTTTATTCATATGGACAAAGTTCACTAATACTACTCAAACCCATCATCTTTCACCAGGGATATCCACAGCAGGTAGAGGGGTTTTCGGAAGGATTTTCTCCTCCCGCTGAATAGGGTGTCGGTGTGGATGTATCTTCTTTTCACTGCACACACATCCACCCACACTCACATTCACACCCCACACCCACACCCACACCCTCATCCACACACTGGCTATGGGTGGAGTGTAGGTGTGAGTATCGGTGTAAGTACCTTAGTAAAATATACCGACA